AAGCCCTGCTGTTAATGATCTTTTACTTTGGAAGGATCATTTTGTGACTATTTTCCCTGCAGGTGCTGGTCAAGCGCACAGATTTGATGGGCACGTGGGCGACCGATTGGGCGACTGAGTACGACAAGATCAAGGAACCGATTTTCGTTGAAAAGGGAATCAAGATAGTGCTGAAGGTAATCCTGCATCTCCATGTAAAGAATGAGTGCACATCGTGCTCTTATGTTTATGGCTATTTTTTGCCTACGATTTGTTGCAATTTTTCTTTTTTGCAGCAGAAGAAACGCGGTTTCCTGGGAATCGGCTCCACCGAAGGAAAAATCATCACATTTGACCATGCCGAGGTGAGGTATTGATGATTCTTGAACAGTGGAGTGGGTGCTTATTTTACATTTCTCACATTAGTGGGATCCTACTGAAGACCTTAGTTGACGATTAATTTCCAATGAGTACATCTTACGTAAATGAATCGCATGTGTGGCCAGGTTTAAGAGTAGGATGGTGTGTGGGACAGTTGTTCGGAGGAATCACCGGCACCCATCGTAATACCAGTTTCCTTGACCACGTGTGGCCGCGCCGGCTCACAACTTAGCTGAATGGGTTGCATAAGTGCAGGTTATCAGGATCGTTCAAAAAGCTTGACATGCTCTTGTTTAACTGGGGATGATCTTGGAAGTCACTGTGCCACTCCTATGGTGACTTATTCCTGGGGCAAATGCGGCTTTTTTGCGAAGAATTTTGTGGAACAGTCTCCTTCACCACGCTATAGGACTTTTGCAAGATGATGTGTGCTGATTTCAGGATATCCAACAGAAGGTGTTGGCAGCGTATAAAGCAGCCACGCAGTTGCCAACCTAAGGACATGAGATGATCGTTGATGTTATTTGTTGTTTTTGCTTTCTTTTCTTCTGAAAGTATTATTTTGCATTGTGATTATTCATTATCTTTGTGCAAATGCCACAAAACGTGTTGTTGCAGAAATTGTCGCCTTTCCCGAGATTATCAATGTGCATTCTGATTTCTGTACTCTTTACTAGTTCTTCGCATTTCGGTTATTACCTTCTCTCCACCTGTGTAGTTATGTATATGTGCACCATGTTCTAGTTACTCGTTCATTGTTGTCAATCTGACATTTTTTTCTTGCGAGGTGTATCTTCTGCCGTCGTTTTATTACGTACCGGTATAAAAATTATAAATGTCGTTAACGATAGTGTTCTTAACGTCCCAATGGAAGTGTGGATGAGGTCTCAATTAGTGAAAATCGTGCCAGCGATTCGTTTAGGTGGCATGGATGTGTACGAAGAACGCAAATTCTTCTTGTGTAATGTTAGATGGACGGCCTCGTCTGCTGCGACGTGGAGTAACCCGTACCAACTGTGCTCGAGACAAGTAGAAAGGAAGGTTTATTTAGACCAAAAAATCAACAATAAATACACAAGAATAAAGATCACGGGCGATCGGAGGCGGGTTGTATCGATGGGACCGGGACCACTGAGCCGAGGTCAGCAACCAGGTGCAGGGCGCAATCCCTTTTCTACGCTGAGCCACGAAGGCTCTCTCCTCTGAGCCACAGGGGCTTTTCAACCAACCGAGCCACTAAGGCTTATCCAACAGGCCACTAAGGCCAATTCACCGAGCCACTAAGGCTCCTCTCCTCAGGCCACTGAGGCCAAACACTGAGCCACTGAGGCTCTTGTCACCTCGCCACAAAGGCTACTTAAAGAC